TCCCCTTTCAGATGCATCTTGATTAATATGGGATAGGGCATCCGCCTTACCCAAATGGGTTCCAGGAATGTGTTGAAGACAATAATTGAACATAGATAGGTACAGTGCCCATTGTGCTTGTCGAGAGTTCAATTTCTGGGGATCTTTGAAATACGTGAGGTTCATATGATCTGTCAATACTTCCACTGGTTCAGCGCATCCTTCAATGTAGTGTCAACAGGCTTTGAAACATCTGATGATTGTGAAGAGTTCTCAATCATAGATTTCATCCTGCTGCCCTATGGGAGAGAAGGACTGGGATAGGAAAGCACATGGATGCCATTTTCCATCAGCCTTTTTCTGAGATAGGATTCGGCTGGAAGCTTTCAGGGAAGTGTCTGATTCTATCCGGAATGGTTTGGTGACATCAGGTTGTACCAAAAGTGGTCGAGTCTTGAAACATTCCTTGAGTTGATTGATGGCTTTGTCATGATCATCAGTCCAACTCCACTTGATCCCTCTTACCAATAGGTCGAGTAGAGGTTGTGCAACTTTAGAGTATCCTGGGATAAATTGGCAGTAGAAATTGGCAAAGCCTAGGAACCGTTGTAGGGCTTTGATGCTGTCAATCTTTGGCCAATTCAGTACTGCTGATACCTTGTTCTCTGCCATCCCTATTTGTCCTGGTCAGAGAATAAACCCTAGAAATTCAACTTCTGATACATCAAAGAAGCACTTTTTGGGTTTGAGGAACAGATCTGATTCTTTCAGACATTGGAGAACCAATTGAGTGTGTTGTTGATGTTCCGCATGGTCAGTGGAATAGATGAGGATGTCATCGATGTAGATTACTAGCCATCCTTCTAGTAATAGATCTGCAAAGATACCATCCATCATAGCTTGGAAAGTTGCTGGAGAGTTTGTCATTCCAAAGAACATGACAGTTGGTTCGAATAGTCCTTGTGGGGTAATAAATGCCCCCTTCCATTTGTTGCCTTCCTTGATATGTACATTGTTGTATCCTGCGCACAGATCAAGCTTGGTGAACATAGTTGGTTTGGCAGAGGCAATACAATCCAATAGGTCTTCCACTCATGGGATAAGGCAAGCATTCTTGATGGTGGCATCATTGAGTTTCCTGTAGTCTTGACATGGTCATAAATCTCCTGATTTCTTGTTAACAAAGAAGAATGGTGAAGCCATAGGAGACTTTGATGGATGGATATAGCCTTTTTGCAAATTCTCCTCAATAAAGGTATCCAACTCTTTGAGTTATACAGGGGATAACAGATAGACCTTTCCTTGTTGGGGTTTAAAGTTGGCTTCCAAATTGATTGCATGGTCCCAGGGTTTCCATTCTGCTAGTTGTTTGGCTGTGCTTTTGTTGAATACGGACAGTAAGGCATTTAGGTATTCTGGAATATTACTAGCGAGAGTCTTGATTGCTCGTAGAAGTTGGTCCCAACAAAAGCGCATTTTCCCAGTGACCCAATCAGTTACTGAATTGAAACGTTTGAACCATGAGAGACCTAGAATAATTAGATTCCTGTCAAGTACTGTGGCGTAGGCTTCTATCTTCATTGGGTGCCTGGATAAGAATATGGTGAAGAAGACTTTGTGTTTGATGATTGCAGCTTTATTTGGTGATCCATTAACATTAAACACTGGTCTGGGTGTGATACTCTGGTGTTGAAGATTGTGATCTTGAGCAAACTTGATGTCAATATAATTCTCCATTGCTCCTGTGTCAAGCAATGCCTCAGTTGTGACAGTTTTGGCATAGGTTTTTAATACGCAGGGCAAATAAATAGATTTATGAGCTAATCTTGCCTGATATAAATACTTCCTAGCACCATTACTTCGACTCAATGTCACAGTGGTCAAAGACTCTAAAAATCCTTTTTGGAGGAAATAGCTTGAATTTATTCCTCAGCTATCCCTTCTTCATCAGAGGAATTCTTGGTCTCATCCTTCTCCTGAGTGGATGTGTCATGTGATTCAATCACCCTGATGCAATTATTTGGGCATTAACAGCTTTGATGTCTAGGTTTGTGACATCTGAAACATAACTTCTTTTCCATGTGCTCCTTGTGATCTTTATCTGACAGACATCTGATCTGCTGATTGTTAGATGATACTTCCTTTGATGGTCCATCCCTGGTCTCAACTGCCCGATTGTGGTGTACAAACTTGTTGCGACCAAAATAGCGATTGGCGGATGGCATAAATAAGGGTTTATTACCAAAAATGTCGATCATAGATTGACAGATGGACTGGACACTGTTGAGGTATCCTACCACAGTGACTGGTAGCGGCGGTTGGGTGGCAATCTTGATCAGGAGAGTGGGAGGAATAAGATGCTGGAGTTCTCAAATTTGCCCTAACTCATTTAATCCACTAGCCTGTAGGAGGGGTTGAAGAGTTGTGACAAATTGAAGGCCATTTCCTCCACACTTTACCCAGGTACATTTGCTGATCTCATTTAATGCTGCCTGAGTGTTGTCTTCCACTCTGAAGGTTTGGATGAAAGACTTCCTGAATTGAGCCCAGCTAGGTAATCCTTTGAGAGGTGCATCTTCAGAATCAGATATGGGTTCTTCCGCATCAGTGATGATGGTGTGGACGAAGAATTGGGCAGGTCCTTTGATATATGAAAGAGTGCATTTGTTAAGGGACCTAACGACTGGGATCAGGAGTTCAACTGAAAACTAG